TGTTTTGTTGCTAGTTAACTAACAATAAATCTTGTACATGTAAGCACCTATCACTATGCTCTGTAATACATTTTCTTTTAACTGTATGGTGTTTAAATATCGAAGAAGTATTAAATAAAATTATATTAACTGGAATTTTTTCCACAAATTGCTCTTAATTTGCTCGTTTCTGATTCAAAACCAGATGTGTGTAAAAATAACATTTCAGTTCTAGGATTATGAAACCAGATGTTTCTAAAAATAACATTTCAGTTCTAGGATTATGAAACCAGATGTGCGTAAAAATAACATTTCAGTTCTAGGATTATGAAACCAGATGTGTGTAAAAATAACATTTCAGTTCTAGGATTATGAAACCAGATGTTTCTAAAAATAACATTTCAGTTCTAGGATTATGAAACCAGATGTGCGTAAAAATAACATTTCAGTTCTAGGATTATGAAACCAGATGTGCGTAAAAATAACATTTCAGTTCTAGGACTATGAAACCAGATGTGTGTAAAAATAACATTTCAGTTCTAGGACTATGAAACCAGATGTGCGTAAAAATAATTTCAGTTCTAGGATTATGAAATTGAAATAGACAGATTAAGAGGAATGTGGAAAAAAGCATCTACAGTTTACGTACTTTTTGTTATAACTTTTAGATCTTTTATTACAAGTTGCAGCTTTTACAGTAAGTAATATTTGCTTTTAGAACAGATAAGACGTTTCGATCACTGGTGCGATCATTCTCAAGAACACAAGTTTTAACGGCAAAGAATGTTTTAGCATATAAAGTAACATTCAACAATCTAACAATGTATTTAAATTCTAGAATTGATAACGGTTACTTATACATGTACATATCAGTCCGCATGAATTGACAGATTATTTATTTATGGCTAAACAGAAAATAAAATAATAATAAATATAAAAACTATGGAATAATGTGTGCAGAATATTTGCATAAGATGTGGAATGTGTGGGGAAATAACGAACAGAGACATATATAGATGTGCATGGGTATCTGTTAAATGTGAGATTGTTTGATTTTATTAATACTACTTCTTATATTTTAATTCTGTTAAAGGTTCTTGTCTTAGTACTGTGATATTCTGTTCAGAAAAACTGTGGTTGTTTTCGTTCATGTGTTAATGGCTTTGGGAGGAGGTTTTTTTTGGTGTTCTTTTAACTTGTCTTCAAGTTACGTCCTGTTTTACCTATGTAAAAGGCTGAGCAACTGTTACACTTTATTTTGTAAATGTTTCCTGGTGGGGTGGGTTCGTTATATAACGTAACATATTCGATGACGAGGAACCCATTTTGAGACTAATAATGGTTGGAGACGGCTTGAATGGGTAATGAATAAAAACTTTAAAATAAGTTTAACATAACAAATGTACAACGTTTCGACAAGGTTTTGTCATCATCAGTACCTGATTAAAGTTTTTCTTCATTACCCATTCAAGCCGTCTCCAACCATTATTAACGTAACATATATTTAATTTTTTTCCAGGGGTGAAAACAAATCTAGACTTTAGGTTAAAGTTATATTTATGTGCTAGTCTTTTCGAAATTTCTGATAGGGGTATGCTAATATTTTCTATATATATATATATATAATAGTGCAAGTGATTTGTTTTGCGGAGTGTTTGAGTTTGTTTGTTTGAAAACACCTCTTGTCTTTTTTGTCTTTTATTAATTTGTTAATAGTTTCTGTAGCTATTTTAGTAGGAAACTGATTAACATTAGTAAAGCATTGAGTTCAGTGTGCAACTTCTTTATCAATGTTTTCTGTATTAGTGTATTCTAAATTTAGAAGGTTGTTTACAGTGTCAGATTGTTAAATGTTGATTTAAATACTAAAACATTCTTTAACGTTAAAACTTGTGTACTTGATCAGTGATCGAAATGGTCGTACCTGTTCCAAAAACAAATCTTACTTACTATAAAAGCTGCAACTTGTAATAAAATATACTTAATCAGTAAGTAAACTCAAAACGAAACTTTTAGATCTTGTAGTTTCTCATTTTTCGTTAGCTCTTGGTGTTTAAATCTTAATTTGTAAATTGATTAATGTTAACGATTTTTTTATTATTATTCTCTATCTATTGCAAATTTCTGCTTAATTCACATAACAAACGATAATTCATTATTAACTCCATCCTTATTCGAAACATCTATTTAAATTGTGGAAGTCAGTTTTAGTCATATACGATTAAAGTATAGACACTTTCGCAAACGTAAAGCAGTTTGTGATTTTAAAAGACAAGAAGAACAGCAAGAAAACTTCCAGATGTTGTTTTGATGAATGATCTTAAATAAACATTATAAAAGCTTCATTCAAACCCATTCTGATTTAAACATGCACTTTTTCCTCTTTTAATTTCAAGAATTATAGTATAGAAGGTTTAATAGTTTTCAAAAACTACTAAAAGTTTGACGAGTGATATTACAAATCTTATAAGTAGTTTTCTAGTGAAATTTGGAAATATTTTCCAGACGGAAATACTTAAAAATCCATTATATGAAGAATTATATAATATAAAGTTTATTATTCTTAAAAAGCTACTAAAAGTCTGACGAGTGATATTACAGATACTACAAACAGTTTTCTAGTTAAATTTTGGAAATGTTTTCCAGAAAGACCTACTTATAAATCCATTATATGAAGAATTATAGAATATAAAGTTTATTATTCTTAAAAAGCTACTAAAAGTCTGACGAGTGATATTACAGATGACACAAACAGTACTTTTACTGAAGTTTTAAAATGTTTTCCAGACGGACTTACCTATTTTTCACACACCACTAAAAGTTTGATAAGTGATACTATGCGTATGACAAACAGTTTTGGAACCGACAGTTTTAAAAATGTTTTACAGAAAGAAAAACTTAACAATATCGATTGTTCTGACAGTTCACTTGTGAACTCAACATTTGTGAACATATTGTTGAGTTCACAAGCGTTTAGTTAAAACTATTCAAAACTCAGTGGACCAGAATCCTTTTTCTTCTCCTCTTCCTGTTCTAAGCTGTTTTGGAATATTAGATCTGCATTACACAACTTGAGTATGTGTTTAATAAGCGCTAGTTGTCTCTTCGCACATGTTAGGTAACTGAAATTTGAATACACTGTATTGCTTTATATTTTACGGCCGAAAATATCGCTGGTAGCCATAGTACACAACTGATGAAACAATACATTACTGGGTTGGTGTTTTAGTTCTGGTCTATGTAGAGGGAGCTTGGTGTAATCAGAAGTGAATATTAAGTACACTGAAAAAATGAATATATTATAATATATTTAACGATTTCAAGACTAAGTAATAATTTATATAATTTCGGTTTCAAATAATATGTTGTCAAGGCGTGTTTTCTAAAAGATAAATCTCACCAATCAGACCGATTAGAGGAAATCCCAGAAAATTTCGATTGTGGGCAAAAAAACTTTTGATTATAGAATTTTTACACAATATTTTGGCATACTGGGCTATAATGAAAAATATATATTTTGATGTATGTTTGTACTGAGATGTAATTGCTGAAAGATATGACCAAAGTACAGTTGTATGGTGAAAATAAATCATTATAACAATAAGCGTAACATTATTAATTCATGGCTGTATGCTGAAGCATTATCAAAATATGACTGTATGTTGAAGTAATATAAACATAGCTGTATAGTGGAGAAACATGACGACTACAGACTGATACACTGTAAAAATATAACTGTGTGATAAAACATTATTGAAATCGTGTCGTAGGTTGAAATACAGAATATTACATAGACTGAAACATTATCAAATTAGTATTGCATACTGTTAAATGAAACAATATTTTGAAGTATTATTATATTTGTATATTATATGCTGAAACATTATCAGAATGTTGCTGTACGCTAAAACGTTAAAATACAACTGTTTGCAGAAACAGTATTAAATTGCGACTTTATATTGTATAATAAAAGACTTGCAATAAAGTCTGTTGAATAACTAGTGTCATTGGAAAGTTATTCAAAACGAATAAAAAACTAATATCGTTGAAAATATCGATATCAAATTATTTTAAATCGTATTACTCCTATGGAAGAAGCGATTACTTTTCGAGCAAAAAAAATCACAGATACATTTTCTGTATGAGAAGTTCTGCGTGTCTGAAAACGAGTATTACAATATTTAAGTCATGTAAATACACTAACTGTTTTCGTAGTAACACCTAACTGTATAAAACGCTCATTTTTATAGTGTTCCCATTCAGAACCGGATTATAAAATAAATGTGCTGAAAATAACAATTTTGCTTTTTTTTTTTGTTGTTGCATAAAGCATGTCTTTCTATTTAAGTTGGGTGCCGAAATAATTAGCCCCGAACTTGTGGACATCTGATTTATCCAAATGAAATTTTATTCAGCGATCTTTGACATTTACTCAGTAAAGTATCATTTTAGAGCGTTTTAATTCTCCTTGTTATCCTTGTCTGTATGTTATCATCAACCTATGTCGTTTCTATAATGAAATAAATCAGTAAGATAAAAGTATTTTTATGGCATCTAAATTAGGAGAAGTAAAATTCTCGTACTGAATGATAGCCCAAACACAGCAGATAACTTGGACTCTTAAAGAATTCATTTCCAAAAATGTTATCTTAAGTTATATATATATATATATTAGCGCCAGACTGAATATATATGCTTAATTACATGGAAGGACTTTGAGATCACGTGCTACGGGAGCTGACTTCTCATCCAGCAAATATAACGGGCCACCAATGACTACTGATTTTTACTAAAGTGGGCAGTTCCTAAGCTTGGCTGGAACAACTTATAGCGGGTCCTGGACCACTGTTTCTAGTTTGAAGAAAACGTACATTGCCTATTCCTGGATTGGATAAGTAAATTTAAGTTGAGAATCTAAAAGCATAGAGAGAAGATAGATATACGTTTTCCCAGACAGTATTTGGCGAAACTCTGTAGCGTTCAAACACATCAATCCTTTTACACTCTGACTACTTCAATCTGCAGAACAAATGACTATCTGTTAAACCAGGCATAGCAATCACATACGAAAGATACGTTCTTTGCGCGAGTTAGTGGTGCGCACGAGTTATACACCACGTGCGTTTATTAAGATCGATTGTAAAAAAGAATGCTCCCAGCTGCGTCATGCCTGCTCACTTGGCGGTATTGGCACGGGCGCTAGGGTGCTATTGAAAACCACGAGAAGCAAGGGTACTCCTGCCAACGTGAGCTCGAACTTTCAGATTGCTCACCGGTGAAATACGGTCGACATCACTGCGAACCCGAGCATGGCCGTGCGCTTGTTAGTCGGTGCGCTGACATTCCTGTTGGCCACCCTGCCGGCACAAGCGTCGGGCAGGTTTCTCGGCATGTTCGCTGCCCAGCAGACCCCTATTGACCCCTGCTACGATGAACTGGGCCAACCTCGTCGATGCATCCCTGACTTCGTAAATGCTGCTTTCGGAAATTTGGTAGAGGTGTCCAGCGTGTGCGGGAAGCCACCCAGTCGCTTCTGCGAGACTTCGACCAGCCAGAGAGGAAGAGTGGAACGGACCTGTGACATCTGCGATGCCAGTAATCCTAGCCGTAGTCATCCGGCAACTTACCTGACTGATTTGAACAACCCCAATAATGTAACTTGTTGGATGTCGGAGCCTTTGAGTAGTCATATTCACAACGTGACACTAACTTTGAGCTTGGGCAAGAAGTACGAACTAACTTATATTAGCCTACAGTTTTGCTCAGAAAAGCCGGACTCTCTGGTCATCTATAAATCCACTAACTTTGGCAAAACCTGGCAGCCGTTCCAGTTCTACTCCAGCCAGTGTCGTGCCGTCTACGGAAAATCCACCCGTGCTCCCATCACTCGAGCTAACGAACAAGAAGCTCTGTGTACGGATCCTCAGTCGAACGTGGACACTTTAGCTGGTGGAAGGATCGCCTTCAGCACGTTGGAAGGTCGACCGTCAGCGTACGACTTTGATAACAGTCCTGTGCTTCAAGACTGGGTCACAGTTACTGACATTAGAGTTGACTTCAATAGGCTAGCCGGCAACACAGATTACAATGATAATGACACCCACAGTATTAACGAAAGTTTCTACTACGCCGTTTCTGACTTTGCAGTTGGTGGACGTTGCAAGTGTAACGGCCACGCTTCCAGGTGTATCCCAGACAAATCTGGAGAATTGGTATGCGACTGTAAACACAACACAGCCGGCAGAGACTGCGAGAAATGCAAGCTCTTTCATTTTGACCGACCCTGGGGAAGGGCCACTGCCCATAATGCTAACGAATGTGTCGGTAAGTCAGTATTATATATATTGTTTTGTGCATGTGAAAAAAAGAACATGTATTATCATAAGTTAACTGAGTTTAGATTTTTCTGAATAGATCTGGATAAAGGAAATGTGTTAGATGTATTAAATCCTGTTAAGTAGTTCTGGATAAAGTATGTGTGTTGGAGCATTTTAAATACTTCTAGGGGACTAGGTTTGGATGAAGGATATGTGTTAGAGTATTTAAAATACTTTTAACTAACCAGGTCTGGATGAAAGATATGTGTTAGAGTATTTTAAATACTTTTAGGTGACTAGGTCTGGACGGAGGACAGTTGTCAGATTGCATTAAATTGTGGCACCTAGATAAGTTGGTTATCTTTTGTATAACTATACATGGTTCGTTATTGTAGTTCAATTAGAATAAAAGTATAAATTAATAGGCAATAATAGAAAAATGTGTAACTCAAACAATATGAGTGTATTAATTATCAATTAATAGGCAGTAATAGAAAAATGTGTAACTCAAACAATATGAGTGTATTAATTATCAATTAATAGGCAATAATAGAAAAATGTGTAACTCAAACAATATGAGTGTATTAATTATCAATTAATAGGCAGTAATAGAAAAATGTGTAACTCAAACAATATGAGTGTATTAATTATCAATTAATAGGCAGTAATGGAAAGATGTGTAACTCAACAATGTGAGTGTATTAATTATCAATTAATAGGCAGTAATAGAAAAATGTGTAACTCAACAATGTGAGTGTATTAATTATCAATTAATAGGCAGTAATGGAAAAATGTGTAACTCAACAATGTGAGTGTATTAATTATCAATTAATAGGCAGTAATAGAAAAATGTGTAACTTAAACAATATGAGTGTATTTCATTGCCAGGTTTTGTTATAAATAATTCGATAATTGTTATTCTACAGACTACCAACATTTACTTAGAATAAACAAAGTATCAATCACTGTGTGGTCTACCAGGTAGTACGAATTCTATGAATTACAATTCAGTGACATTAATCTGTAGATTGCAATTGGTTAATTAACAGAAAAAAACCAGATATATCACTCTGAAGACAATATGGGCTCACTAAGAAACAATCACTTAATTTTATTATGTAAACGACCAAGTTTTATTGCTAATAAATCAATTAAAGTCTTCGCATTTAGTCAAGTTTTAAAAGAGTAACTGAATTGAAATTATGCTTTAGGCACTTAAATGTTTTTTGTTTGTTTTTTAGATTTATTTAATTATTAATGTTGTATTCGGTACTAAAAGTGGCAGTGATGTGATGTTGGTGCCTTCTCACCGACACAACCATACTACTAGTCTAGTAGCATGTCATTTAATTATTAATGTTGTATCCGGTACTAAAAGTGGCAGTGATGTGATGTTGGTGCCTTCTTCTCACCGACACAACCATACTACTAGTCTAGTAGCATGTCATTTAATTATTAATGTTGTATCCGGTACTAAAAGTGGCAGTGATGTGATGTTGGTGCCTTCTTCTCACCGACACAACCATACTACTAGTATAGTAGCTTGTCATTTAATTATTAATGTTGTATCCGGTACTAAAAGTGGCAGTGATGTGATGTTGGTGCCTTCTTCTCACCGACACAACCATACTACTAGTCTAGTAGCTTGTCATTTAATTATTAATGTTGTATTCGGTACTAAAAGTGGCAGTGATGTGATGTTGGTGCCTTCTTCTCACCGACACAACCATACTACTAGTCTAGTAGCTTGTCATTCAATGTTGCTATAATTATTGTGTAGTATGCTATTGATTAAGAGATTGTTGCTGTTTATTCTTTTTTCTTCTTCTTAAACCACAATTTCTTTGTAACGAGTAATTTATAATTTCGTTAAATTATTGGTATTTCTTTTTGAAACCAGATGTTCCTTAATAGACGTTTGGTGTTATGTTATAGAGATGAGCTTGCGTTTTTTAAAGTAGGTGCTGATCTTGAAGAGAGTAATTTGAATACTAAGCGGTGATTTGTAAAACTAGGCGCAGCTTGAAATGATGATTTGGTATTATTACCTATACTAAGTCTACACTAAGTACAGACAGAAGTGGAATTATGCTGTAAATTAATATACTTGTTAAGACCGTGACGTAAAGCGAGTTAGTTTGTATTATTCAATAAATAAAAATTTTAAACCTGATATTGTTTAAGTTTAAGGCGAGTAAGATAATTTTATGTTCTATACATAGATAAACCGTTTTTCTCGATACCAGGCATAGCTTAAAGGTGAGACAGCTAGTTTTGTGTCGTAAATCATATGTACTTTTAGAAACTGGGTGTTATGTTATAAACTAGACCTTCTATTGGCGCCAGTTAATTACAGAATTTGTTGACAAATCTGTTTAAAAAAAGTATAACTACGTTGTGTACAGATGTTGAACAGAACAGCACATAAGAAATCTGGGCTCTAAAAATTTATTTTTCTTGTAAATAAAAGAATTTTACGAACCAGCCATGTTTTACTGTTTAAAATGTGTTTTCACGAGTCATGATAATATTGTAGCAACACGTCCGTCTCTTATTCGTGAGTTCGAATTGTTGTTTGTTTGTTTTCTAGTACACTGTGATTTATATTAGCGTAGAAACGCACACGAGTGAACTGAACCGACTAACACATGTGTGAAAGAAACTGATAAACTTAAATATAAACGTAACTACAGTCGATATGAGCCACAGCAGGACATGAGTGCTCAACTCAAGAATCAGACTCAAACAAAAGACGAGCTCACTAATGACGTGAACATTTAGACAAGCTAAGACAGGTGCTGAAAAATGCTTTCCTCTTTTCTTCTTAAGTGAAACAGATTTTAAATGAGTTGTTAAAGAAGCATACAATATTCTGGTTACTCATTGGATCGTTGAGTTTTGCGGTTCGTAGCTTCAGGAGACTGTCTACTGCACCTAAGCTTCTACTTTTCAAGCTGCATCAGTCCTCGTGTCGGGTCACAAGAGGCTCAGTCTATCACAAAGTATTCACTACTGGCACGCATCATGGCATTCTTCATAAAATGAATCTTCTACTAAGAAACATTATCGCCGAAAAATCTCAGTTATTTGAATCCGATAGTCATTAGCATTTGTATGCAACAAATTTGGAACATGTTGTTAACAAACTCTGGGCACAAACAACTCATGAAATGTGCCGTTTTTAGAACAAACTATAAAAACGTTTGATGTTCGAAAGAAATGTAATATGTAGATGATATGCATATCTGAGTGAACGGTTCCATGCAGTCTAACTCTGGAATTGATATAGGAATATATATCATTTGGTAGTATTGCAACTGTTCAAAGCTAATATAATATCTTTTTAAAACTTGAACTTCAGTTAAAATAGTACTTAATATATCCATATATCAATTGGTGGCTTTAATAATATGAATTGACTGACATACATTCAGCTTTCACTTACTGATGTAGCTCGAACTCCATCAGTCAGGAAATGTTAGCAGTAGCAAGTTACGAAGTGCTATTAATAACCTAGTGTTCAGTTTAAACTAAAACAACAACTCTGACTGCATGCATAGCTTAATCCCCTGTGTTTTGCTGCTATTTTGAAAAATCAGAATAGTGAGGAAGTACTGATTTTTGGTTCTTGTTACAATAAATGTAAAATAAATAAGTAACAGCAGGAGTACCTTCTTATGGATAGAACATTATTTTTCATTCACTGTACACCCTGCTAAGTGGGCTCTCTCTCAGTCTTGTGTTTCATACTTTAATTTGTTACCCAATTATTTAGGTATAGTGTAGATATGTTATTTCATATATGTGTGAAGAGATGCAAAGAGTTAGTGTGGAAGACAACATTTTACCGTATCTTTCAGATTCCAAAACTCAACTAGTTGTTCTTAATAATTAGTAAATAAAGTATGGACAACCAAACCAATTTTTATTGTGACCCGAAAAAAATGGTCAACAAAGTAACAATACGACTAATGCAATTTTGGAGTAAAAAATTATTTAGTTAAACAAACTTATTCATATTACAATGTAATATTTATGAAAGTAATAAATCAAATTCATTAATTTTACAAAAGAGTGTTTGTTTTAGGGCAAAGTTACACAATGGGCTATGTGCACTCTGTGTTGTAAGTCCGCAAACTTACCGCTGACTTACCAACGGACTTTTTATTAAAATAACCAACATAACTTAAGATAAAACACAGTATGTACCTTATTAAATGTCAGATAAAGGTACTGATTATAAATAAGTTTTCATGCTCTAATAAAAATTTGGCAGAGGTGATCTAATCAACACGTGATAAAAATGTCAGATAGAGGTATTGATTATAAATAAGTTTCATGCTCTAATAAAAATTTGGTAGAGGTTATCTAATCAAGACGTGATAAAAATTACAGATAGAGATACTGATTATGAATAAGTTTTCATGCTCTAATAAAAATTTGGCAGAGGTGATCTAATCAACACGTGATAAAAATGTTAAACAGAGGTACTGATTATAAATAAGTTTTCATGCTCTAATAAAAATTTGGCAGAGGTGATCTAATCAACACGTGATAAAAATTACAGATAGAGGTACTGATTATGAATAAGTTTTCATGCTCTAATAAAAATTTGGCAGAAGTGATCTAATCAACACTTGATAAAAATGTTAGATAGAGGTACTGATTATAAATAAGTTTTCATGATCTAATAAAAATTTGGCAGAGGTGATCTAATCAACACGTGATAAAAATGTCAGATAGAGGTACTGATTATAAATAAGTTTTCATGATCTAATAAAAATTTGGCAGATGTGATCTAATCAACACGTGACAAGTAAAACTTTGGGGGATTCTTTGATAAATACAGTATAAAAGTACAATCTGGGTTTCATTTCAATTAATATGAAAATAAAATATAACGCTACTTTGCTTATATAGCGATATGAAAATTCTATTATAATTCTGCTTTAGAATAATGCAACAAATTTACGACGCAAGAATCAGAAGGTTTTCAGTAAGTAGACA